GGCTCACTTTTGCAATACATTTGGAACACGCCTACTTATGTGGACATCAGGTTACACCTGCCTCCTGCACATTAACTCACCGTGTGTGCTTGAGGCACTTGTTACTGATTTTCAGAAACTACCAACTCAAATTGTTTAATTACATGTGTGTTTCTGGTGGTTTTTGGCTTTTTAGTGTATTTTATTATTTGTGGTACTGAGGATTTAACTCTGGGCCTTTGAACTGAGTGATACATCTCCAGCCCCTTTGTACTTAATTATGAGGCAGTGTCTTGTTAGTCACACAGGCTGGGTCCAAACTTGTGATCCTCTCGCGTTAGGCTCTCAAGAGTGCTGGATTATAGGTGTGTGCCACCACTGCTGGCTAATGTTTAATTTATAAATTAGACACAGTAACAGTAATTAATAAAACAGAACATTTTAAACAACAGGTGGTGAAGTTACATATGTGATGTCTATTAAATCTCTCTCAAAAAGGATTACTTGGGGCTGGGGATTTAGCTCAGCGGCACAGCACCTGCTTGGCAAGCGCAAGGTCGTGAGTTTGATCCCTGGTATGGGTGGCGGCGGGAATACTCAAACACCAGCACTGTGATACAATGATGGTCTATCTGATGATCAAGATGGCTACAGACTCAGAGGCTTATGTACCCTAAGTATGTTATTGCTGGGGTTTTTTTTGGTACTGGGAATCCAACTCAGGACCTTCCAATTGCCAGGGAGGCGCTGTGCCACTGAGCTATATCCCCAGCCCTAGCTGAGATACGTTGAACAAGGAATGATTCATATCTCAGGCTTTGTGGGGAGGGGTGGTGCAAGAGTTCATCATGCTACTCACAATGGGATGAAATTTAAAACTTACAAACTGCTCATTTCTGGAATTTTCTATTTAATATTTTTGGAACAGGTTAAGAGAGGATAACTGAACTCATAGAAAGTGAAAACATGGGTTAAGGAAGGAGTACTGTATCCTTATCCTTTATGGCTATGGAAAATGCAACCTGCTCGAAGTCCTAGTCTACTAAGTGGTAGAAATTAGTAACAGAATCTAGGTTTGAGTTCATGGTCTGAACTTTTAATCATGGTATATTGCTTTTATATATAATCAATGTTGTAGTTCTACTCTTACTCTAGCGGCCCAACCTCAACAAGTTTATCCAGTCACCTCTACTAATAAGAAAATTGTGAAATTATTTTTTAATACCTTAACCACCATATTGTTCCTTTTTATTATTTTGTGGCTGGGGAATGAATCCAGGGCCTCAAATATTCCAGGTAAGCACTCTATTACAGGACTACACCCCTAGCCCCAGTGACTTTTTTATTTTGGTCTCCTGAGACAAGGTCTCACTATGTAGCCCAGGCTGACCTGAAACACACAGTGATCCTCCTGCCTCAGCTTCCCAAGTACTGGGATTGCAGGCATGTGCCACCGTGCCCAGCTGACTTTACTTTTCACAGGAGCAATTTTTAGAGTACAGAATTTTTTGCTAGCACAATAAACTGCAGTTTATCTAGATTTATTATTTGCCTTTGATGTATGCAGATAACTAATTACTTCAAGATAAACAACAAAATCATAACATGAAGTTCTCTCACCATTTGTTTTCTTAAACTGTACCAAAAATTGATAACCCCCTTTTTTGAGTTACACAACCCAATTTATACTCAGTTTTTGTTTTTGTTTTTTTTTGAGACAGGGTCTCGCTATGCAGTTCAAGTTGGCCCTGAGCTCACTTTGTAGCCCAGGCTGGCCTCAAACTAGCAATGAACCTCTTGCCTCAGCCTCCTCAGGGCTGGGATTACAGGCGTGCGCCATCATGCCCATCTATAGTGTTCTTTTCTCTTTTAAATTTACTGTATTTCTCTCTCTCACTTGTTGAAGTGGAAGGTGCTGAATTTTATAATCTTCTGCTGGACATCTGGTAAAAAAAGGAACTTAAAATGACGAAAAATTTAATGAATCATTTTCATGAATTAATATGTAAAATTATTAAGTACTATGAAATACAGAACAAAAAGCATATATCTTTCTTTTCTCTATCACACATTTTACTGCCTACAAACCCTAGGAATTTACTTTCTTTTCTGTATGTTTTTTACTGAATAAAATTTGAATTAACATAGCTTTGTCCAGTCATTAGTACATTTGCTATAAAGGCAAAGATTATTTGATTACATGGTATTCAGGTCCATGCTATTCCTATGTGTATTTTAATAGACCCTAAAATTATAATAATATATAAGTAATAAGTCTTACTTATGTAACTGGAAGGTTTAGTCTACTTATGTTCACAACTTCTCTAAATAATTTAGTAAGAGCATAAAAGCAAGATGCAAACCAGTTAGATATTACTTGAGTGATTTCCTATGTTTAGTTAACATTATATTTAGTTAGATTAATATTTGGGTTTCTAAATTCTCAGATAAATGATTAAAATAGTAATTATTAAAGCCAGGACCACATAACAAGACCAAGTTTTTCTCAAAATTAAAGGTTCTGATAAACAAAAACTTGCTTGTATCAACAAAGCTATGATCTCTTGCCATTAAACATTTTATTATGTGTTCATTCAAATTCATCAAAAATATCTTTTCAAATTTAGAAATATCTACTTTAGTGAGTGCTGTGAGTGAAATTGTCTCCCCGCAAAAAAGGCTACCTATGAATGAGATTCTGTTTATAAAGGGGGTCTTTGTTCATGTAATCAAGTTAAGAAGAAGTAACACAGGATTAGGGTGGCACTATATTCAATGACTGATGTCTTTATGAGGAGAAAGACTTGGAGACAAAGATGTACAAGAAAGTTTATGTGAAGATGGAAGTAGAAACTACAGTACAATGGAATTACAATTCTGGAATGTCAAAGAAGCCTAGTAACTACTAGGGTTGGAAAAGGCAAGGAACGAATATTCTTTCCTATAAAACTTCCAAAGCAAGAAAGCACTGCTGATGCCTTGATTTTGGACTTATGGTCTCTCCTGGGCTGTGAGAAAAAATATTTTTACTGTTTTCAACTACTTGGCTGTGCTTTGTTGCAGCAACCCTGGGAAACTTATAGAGGGAGTCAAAAAACATCCACAAAAAAGCAGGTTTGTTTTTGCTTTCTGGAGACAGGATCTTGCTGTGTAGTTTAGGCTGGCCTTAAATTTGCGGCAATCCTTTTGCCTCAGCCTCCCAATTCCTGGGATTACAGGTGTGCACCACCGAACCCAGCAAAAAATAGTTATTTTTTGGTTTTTCAATGTTTTGGACAGAGTTTTGTTATTATTTCACTCATTACTGGCTTTTCTGTTACAAGTGCTTACTATAGGTATTTTTCAAGGATCAGTCCTTTGGTTTTGGCTGTTCTACATTTTCATACTGACACTGAATTTGCCACAGGTAATCTCAAATTTATCCATCATGCCTTCTCAATTGCTTTGCAGCATGACACTGCTTGGTTATCGCTTAGGTATAATTTACACAGACCTGACCTTGCTTAAGCCTGGGTCCCTATTTCCTCCCACTGATTTTCATATTGCAGTTACTGCATTTAGTAGAGGCTAAAATATCATCCATTAAAAGATTACTATTATATTTTTTGTTCCATTAAAGAACAAAACAACTGCAAATGATTACCAAATATAAGACTCAACTGGACTCAAAATGTTACAAAAAAAATGTGATAATCAATGAATGTAACAAAGGTATCACTGTTTCACTCTGAATACTTTGATTCCTCCCATTCCCTCAACATACACATTCAGTATTATTAAGTACTGATTCTTCCTTTACAAAGTCTAGCAGTATCTATTTTCTTAAGTGTACCCAACCTTCAGCTGTAAACTGGACATGCCTGGTTGGCCTAGGCTGCACTTAGTGAAGAAGAACTGTCTTGGGCTGCACATATAATACAGTTAATGTATTTAAATCACAAAATTCCACTGTTTATTTATTTATTTATTTATTTAATTTATTTTGTCTTTTTGAGACAAGGTCTCACTATGCAGTTCAGGCTGGTCTTGAACTCATGTTGTAGCCCAGGCTGGCCTTGAACTCAAAATGATCCTCCTGCCTCAGCCTCCTGAGTGCTGGGATTACAGGTTTGGACCCCCATGTCTGGCAAAATTCCATTATTTAAAAATTTTTTTTCATTATAACGGGAATGTCTAACACATGGGCTGCAAGTTGGCTATGCCTAGCTGGTGTAACTGGTTTCTGAGCCTGCCTCTGCATAGCTGTATCTCTTATGTATCAATTCTAAGCTCATTTTCTTAACATATCTATGTTTTATTTTTACTCCTTAAGCTTCAATGTAATCATTTATTTACATATTTGTTTTCCCAATTAAGACTATTTACTTTTCTATTGTAGGAACTCTTGTCTTTTCCTTTCTTTCTTTTTTTCTTTCTTTCCTTTTTTTTTTTTTTGAGATAGGGTCTTGCCATGCAGTCCAGGCTGGCCTTGACTTACTATGTAGTCCAGGCTGGCCTTGAATTTGTGGCAATCCTACTGCCTCAGCTTCGAGTGCTGGGATTATGGGCATGCATTACTGTTTTTTGTTTTTGAGACAGGGTCTCACTATATAGCCCAGGGTGGTCTTGATCTTGTAGCAATTTTCCTGTCTCAACCTCCCAAGTGCTGGGATTAGAGGTGTGCCCCACCATGCCTCAGTGTCTTTATGTATCATCAAAGTTTGGAATATGGTAAGATTTCAATAAATATTTTAATATAGAGTAAAACACTAACTGGAGTTTTAAAAACTTTTCTTTTGCACTGAAATTAATTTACAAGTTGTATCGCTCCTTTGTCCTGTCATATATTGCTCAGCCGTCCCCCCAATGGGTACGTTGTAAAAGAAATTGTAGTACTAATATTATCTTTAAAAATCCAGTTATGTTTTACTCTTCTTTATATTTCCTATAAAACTATGAACAATTTAAAAAAATCTAGTAAGAACTTAAAAATGTCAGAATTGACCACAGCACCATGAAAAACACAGAAGGCAGCATTGTACCTATAGAGGAAGACTGTGGACTAATCAGAAGGTCCTCTTGGACTTGTTCACTTCCTGGTACTGTCTGCTGATCGCTCAGTGAACTCTGAGATGCGCTGACAGGCTGGGACACTTCCTCATGGGCCTCCTCATCACTTAACCTTTCTACTTTGACTCGGATATCTTCTTCGTTACCCAGAGGCAAGGCAGCTTTTGTGCTCTCACAAGTCACGCAATCAGTCACTCTTCTACCTGTCTCAGACGGACCAGGTAATTCTAAAGTCCGAGTGTTTTCTGCCTGCTTAGCTTTCTCAGGCTGAATCCTTCGATCAATTCCAAAAGGAAAAGTCCAAGGAAAAGCTAAAGAAGAGTCCACTGGTTGATTTCTATTTTCTGTGTAGGGAGCTGAAGAATTCAATACCTGCGGTGAGCTTGTTTGTGTGCTACACTTTACAGGACTCTCAGGAGACATAACGATGTAGCTTTTGCGCTTTCTCCGGGATTCTCGGCAGACAGGAATGGTTCTTTCCACCACACTGCACTCTGAAGACACTGGAGAAATGCTTCCATCTCGAGAAGTAAAATTGCAGTTAGAATTATTTTCTTGTCCAGCATCTAGACTCTTTTCTGGCTGGTTATTGGGTGTATTCCATAAAATACTTGATTTCATGAACTCTGAGCAGGTGCTAGCAACACTAAACATTTGCATATAGCTGGCCGCAGCTAGAACATCAATGATATTTTCTGTGTTAATTGACAGAGTGGCTGTGTAAGCATATTCTAAAAGAGGTATAAAGCCAGTCACGGTCACATGATGCAGATCCAACACACTCTTGTTTTCATCCTCTGCTTGGCCTACAAGTTTGGTGCGAAAGAAATCACTGCAAGCTGCTAGTACCACTTTATGTGCCCGGAAGATTTTATCCTGGACACGAATAGTGATATCACAGAAATGTCCATCATTTCGCAGCATATTTAGTTTTCCAAGCATTTCCTGACTGTGGGAAGAGGAGCTATGAGTAAAAGTTTTCACACCCATCTTTTCCTTCCTCTTCTTCAGACGCTCTTCAAGGATGTAAATGAATCAGAAATGTCCTTTAAAAAATACATAAAATAAAGCGTTAAATAATGGTTGGTAGTTCAAATAGACAATTTACATAGTTTTCATGAGCCCACCATGCCAAATAAAAAGGCTAAAAGATGGTAGCGAGAAAGAAACTTCAGATATGGACTGTACTAAAATATATTATTCCAACTATTCAGGATTTACAGTGAAATCTGTAAACTACTGTTTTAATCAGCTTGAGAGTTTTAAACAACAGTTTGTAAATAATGATGTGCTTGCTACATGCCCAACATGTACCATTTTAAATGCTTTACATTTGACTGTCAAGCTATCTCTGCCAGAAGGTACATTATTACTTCTATTTCTAAACGTGATCATGTAGTAGGTAATGCCAGTTCAAACATTAAACAATTCATTATATAATAATTCCTTTGAGTGTTCTACTCAGGTACATACATATATAAGGAAAAGAAAAGAAATGGGGGGAAAGGAAAAGAAATCCCCAGATTTAAAAAAAAAGTCACTGATATGTTAAAAGGAAGACAAAACCATTAATCTGGGACTGTGCCTTGTTTGATATCATGATAAAAGGCATAAATCCTGTGTGAAGACAGAAGGCCACTGAAATAATCTTTTTGGCCATAATCAATGGAAACATTCAAATATAAGCCTGCTTTAGGATCATTACTCTTTTTCATGGATTGAATTGTTGCCTAATTCTAGAATGGAAAATAAAGCAAATTAAGATCACTAACTCAAAGCAAAACCCTGCTCCCCATGTTCTTCCTGAAGACAATCACAAGACTACGCAGCTAGGATTAGTCTAAGCAGACCACCATTTAATGTATTTGATAATCTTTTTCTCATAGGAATGAGAAGAGGAAAAGGAAGAAAATGGGAGGGCTATATGAAGTATTTCGTTCATTTGCTGTATTCCAGGAAATTGGCTTCTGCTTTTAAAGCTTGGCCATCAAAGGTGCTTACTTTGATTGGGATCATGTGGTTCAGGGAGGAAACATGCCTTCAGAGCAAGTGACAGTCATAATCCAGGGACCATCTGCATGAACAAAGGTATAAATGCAAGAAATTAAACAACATATTTGGAAAGTGTGCAACAGGGTGTTAAAATGAAACTACTTCAATCTTGGTTATTTAGAAGCCCCAAACAATAGATACTGCACTACATTTCCAAGTGAGGTATGAGGCTACCAATGCAAGGAGGGACTGGAAAACTTTTTCAACGTGAGTTCCATGTACTTTCAATGATCACAGAGTTGAAGATTAGAAAAGGAGTTCTGCTGAGATGAACCAATGTGTTATGAGTTCTATCCCACTCCCTCCTAGTCTTACTGCAAAAGAAAGATGTAGAAGCATGTTTTTCCTTTATTTCAGGCCTATGAAAAAACGTGTCACACTTAAAAAAACTCTAAAGGTCATGAGTCTGTTTAAAACACTGGCCAAGACCAGAAAATATGCTATCTTCCAACAGTACATAGATGTGGCTGAGAGTATAGACTCTGCAGCCAGAATACTAGGTTTGCATCTTGGTTCTGTCATTTATAGCTGTGTGAATTTAAGCAAGTTACTAAACTTTCTATACTGTAATTCCTTCAGTAAAACAGGTGTTACAAAACCTATGATACAGAGTTCTAAGGCTTTGATGATGTAGACCATGCTAAATGTTTTGAACAGTAAGTAACTGTCAACATAATCAATGGTAGCTTCTGTCTCTCCTAATCCTGGCAGGGCCAGAAATCACAGTTAGTACACGGAGATGAGGAATAAAAGTGTGAGAAGACAGATAAAGGAAGCAAATCAAACCCTATGCTTCTATTGCAGGCCTTAGGTGGGAAAGGAAGAACATTTTAAACTCTGAATCAAGTTTATGAGTTCTTGAAAACATTTTTATTTCTTGAAAAGTGATCAGAGAAGTTACTAAGTACTGTCCTTGAGGGAGCTGGTCACAGACCAAAGCTTTCAGTATAAACTTAAACAAAGCTGGGCATGGTGGCACACACCTGTGATTAAAGCACTTAGGAAGTCTGAGGCAGGAGGATCACTTCAAGTTTGAGGCCAGCCTGAGCTACATAGTGAGTTCAAGGCCAATCTGAACTATATAGTGAGGCCCTGTCTCAAAAATATTAAATGAACAGTGGGAGATAAAACCAAAATGGGTTATAAGTACCTCCTCTGAATCACTCTTTTTAAATTTATTTTTATTAGTACACAGTTACAGAATGTTTACACATATAAGGTCTAATACAGCTGGAGGTATGGGATGAGAGGAAGATGGAAGTTAGCCTGGGAAAAGCCTTCTATGCCATGTATTTATTGCATGCATATCCCAAGTGCATAGTGAAACTCTGATATACTCCATAATAAAAAAAAATAAATACACAAACACATTTTGGAAATAGTGCAATATCATTCACTGAGGAAAAACTTGGAAAAAAGGGATGAAATTACAATATTTGAAAAAAAATCTAAATAACATGGAAAGTTCAGAAGCCAGGAAATAACCTAAAATTTCTGAATTTGATAATGCTATTTTAAAATATCTCACTTCTCTCCATGTGTATAGATGACTTTGTGTACATACTTAATCTGAGTATGTTTAAAATTGTTAAGATTTAATTATAATTTAGAATTTGTGTAGCTTTCACAAGTAATAAAAATGTGTTAGTGCTAGGTGAGGTAGCCTATGCCTATAATCCCAGAACTTGGCAGACTGAGTTAAGAGGATCACCATGAGTTTGAGACCAGTGTGGGCTACATGGCAAGACCCTATCCCAAAATAACAAAACAAAATATTAGTATTAACAAGTTAAAATGCAAATGCCGGGTGTAGAGGTGCACGCCTGTAATCCAGCACTTGGGAGGCTGAGGGAGAAGGATTATTGCCAAGTTTGACACCAGCCCGGACTACAAAGTGAGCTCAAGGCCAGCCTGAACTGCACAGCAAAACCCTGTCTCAAAAAGACAAAAAGACAAAAAAAGAAAAAAAAGAAAAAAAGAATGCAAACTATTCAGTAATAATAGGTTCCTTCCCACCTTTTAATTTCAAATAACTAATGCAATAATAATATATATACATGCTTATGAAAATGGCAGTGACGATTTTGTTCCAGATGGCCTGAAAACTATGATTTTGTTTCAGCCTAAAAAGTTTTTGACAACCACAATACATTGCTTAGTTGACAGAATTATTTATAGTAGACTGGCCCTCAATTTGATCCCCAGCATACAAAAACAAAACAAGACAAAATTAAAGAGATCAAAATTCAGAATGTCTTACTATATTTCTTATCTATACAGTGTATGGTTTGAATGCATCTATTTTGTTATAAAGGTCAGCTGGTTAAAAAGTATCAGGGGACTTGAGATTCAAACGAAATAGCTTAGTACTGTACATATATAAAGTAAGGCAGCTGACCAGGTTTTAATTATGCTAAAACTGAACTAAGATCACCTTATTTGCACCCTATGTTTTGATTAAACCCAATCAAAGACAGAAAAGGTTAAGGAGAGGGATGAAATTGGTTTAAAATGCCTCTAAGAAGAATATTCGGGTGGGAATATCTAGGTGGCTTACGTACCAGACGTGGTAGCAGGGGCTTTAGGTTTACTATCTCATGGGGGTTGGTGGTGGTGGTGATTAGATAATACTCTAATTTTACAGATGAGAAAACAGGCTCAGATAAATTCCTTTGTTTGAGGCCACTGATATCTATGCCCCTATAAGTACTTTGGCAGAACTTAGGGTCTTCCCACTGCGTCGTATCTCCAGCCCTATTTTTAAAATGTTAAAACAAGGTCTTGCTAAGATGCTCTGGCTGAGCTCAAATATGTACTCTCCTGCCTTAGTTTCCCAGAGTGCTATGATTTTAGGGTGTGCCACCACACTCAGTTTAAAAGACCTAGGATCTTATACAATAGCCAGATAGCCATGAAGGACTAATAGAGTCATATCTGCATTCTAAAAATATTCTGGTGGCAACAGAGAAGGTAGGTTTCGGGGTAATTGTTATAATACTACAAGTGCATGATAAACTGAAGCCAAAGTAAATCAGCGGCAATGAGGATACAGAAAGTAAAACATTTCTTTTAATGATCCAGGAGGAAAAACACCTGGGCATGATTTTGTTTTAAGGATGGGGTAGGGGAGAACTACAAGAATGTAACTCAAGGGCTGACTTTGGTGTTTTCACTGGAAACACAGAGAGTAAAAGGAACAACTGATTTCAACAGGGGTTAACAGTGGTGGAAAAAATTATTTTTGTTTGGGACATATCGAGTGTTGAATACCTCTGGTAAGAATATCCACGTTTGGATTTACATGTGACATTTCTCAATCTGGTTTGGGGTTTAAGGAAGAAGTTAGAGCATGACCTAAACACTAGATTTTATATAAGTCATTGTTAAATTTCATTCTACTAAATTTATTACAGCTGAAGACATATAAAAACTGTATAGGAAAAAGGAGCAGAATGGCAAGCTGAGAGAAGCTTCAAGTAGGCAGAGCAAAAAGAATCCATGAAAACATTTTATGGTATCTGAATTTATCTTTTAACCTTATCTAGTATTAAACACACATTACAATAAAACAACAGGCAGTAAAATATGTAAAAGGATAAATATGTGTCTAAAAACTTAACGGAGCCATAATAAAACTTAAGGCAACCTGAAGAGGCCTGCACTGGCAAAAAATGAGACAATAAACTAAAATATATGAGATATGTTTAAATTCATAAGTTAATATGACACTAGAAACAAACTAATTTATTAACTTTAAAAGATGCTACCAGGCCGGGTATGGTGGTGCCTATAATCCCAGCACTCAGGAGGCTGAGGCAGGAGGACTGCTGCAAGTTTGAGGCTAGCCTGGACTACAAAGTGAATTCAAGACCAGCCTGAACTGCATAGTAAAACCTTGTCTCAAAAAGACCCAAAAAGAGAGATATTACTGAACTAAATAATTATTTTGAAAACTGGCTTTAAAAAGGGAGAATAAACCATATATCCTGCCTTTTCAATACAAATAGCATTTCTGAGTTATATGACCCTGTTAAGACCCTGTTTCATGGTAAAATTTTTAGGAAAAGCATAGAGATGTAGCTCTGTGGCAGAGTATTTGCTCACATGCACAAGGTCCTGAGTTCAATCTCCATACCACCAAAAAAAAAAAAAAAAAGGATAATCCAATAGTTTAAAAATACTTTTATATGAACTCAGATTTATTTTTTTACCCATTAGTTTCAAATAAGATATAATGATTGGGTTATAAAGTCTTTTGGGGGGTGTTAAATAGAATATGAAGACTTCTGAATTTCCTGTCCCATCAAAAGTAACCACAGCCCCTTAGAGAAATGGCTAATTCTAAATATGTGGCAGTGAATGTCCCACCTAAAGAGATAGTGAGGAACCTACACTGTTGATGGGAATGTAAACTATGGATATCAGTATGAATATTCCTCAAAACACTAAAACTAGAAGTCCTATTTATACAGGAACCAGAAGGTAGATTTTTCTGCAGATGGGAAAGGGGGAGAGGTAAGGGAGATCAGAGAGAGGGAGGAGGTAAGGGAGAGTAGGTGAAGGAAATGAAAATGATCAAGATAGGTTATGTTCATCAATTCCCCACAATGAACATCATCATTATGTACTGTAATCATATACCAATAAAAGAATAAATACTTTGGTTAATATAGAAGAGTTATAAGAACATCATTTTGTGACCCTCCTCATCCTTCATGAAAAAGGCACTGCTCATCAATGAACAGAATGACAAGAAATGGTAAAAAAGACTACACAAGGGCTGGGGATATAGCTCAGTGGCATAAGCGCCTGCCTGGCAAACGCAAGGTCATGAGTTTGATCCCTGGTACCGCAAAAAAAAAAAAAAAAAAAAGTACACAAAATCTGATCAAGTCCTCTAGATTCAACTGGCAATTCACAGGAAATAGGTAACAGGAACATGTTAAGCTACCACAATGGGATGCAAAAAGGAAACTCTAGATTATGAGAAACTCCATAGGACAAAAGATTTTTTTCAACTAA